AAGAAAAAGTATTATTTTTTAATATTGCCATATTTATCCTTATGCAAAAATATTATTTATCAGTATTAAAAGCATATTTATATTTAAAGGATTAGGTATTCACTTTTGTTGTTCACTGAATTGTGGAGCTTCAAAAATTATAAACCTTTTCCTACTATATTATATTATTTTCTTTTAATAAGTTATAGTAAATTGAATAAAAAATATCAAATATTTAATGATACATGAAATAGAATTTTTAGCTATAGAATTTTTACCTTTTACCAAAGTTCTAGGTTTTGGACACTTTAACCCAGTTTACGAGAGTTTAACCCAGTTTAGGACAGTTTTACCCAGTTTAGGACAGTTTTACCCAGTTTAAGACAGTAAAACCCACGTGTCCTGTCCAAAACCAGTTTAGGACGTCCAAAACCCCAACCCTGATTTGGACGTCTTACATGAAGAAACCTGACCTACAGTAAACGCGTGGTTGCAGAGAAATGTGTTCCGAAAGGAGTTCCGTGGTTGTGTTCTGTTCTTCGAAAAGGTTCTGAACAATAATAGTAAATAGGGAAGCTAGATAATGGGGCAGATGTTGAAAATAATGAAAGATCCAGGTAGAAAAGTAAAACGGATTTTTTTATTCTAAATGGCGTAATTCGAAGCTTTTTCCAAAATGCGAGAAATTTGCGAACTTTGAAATTGATTTATAGAATGCGCGAATTTCTCGAGGTAATAATTTTTTAATGCGAGAAAAGAAAAAAATATGCGAGATTCTCGAGCTGTAGTGAAAACTCTGATAAAAGCCAGAGAGTTAGCAGGTCTTGTGTGTTTTAAGTTTAGATAGACTCACAGCAAGGTTAAAAAGTTATCGTTAAACTTGTTACAAATTAAACAGTATTTCTGAAGAAAAAAAAAACTATAAGTAGTTTTAAGCTTCTATTTTTTTAAAAATATCTTCGACTCACTTTCTTATGACAGAGGTGTGCATTATGCATTTAAAATAAATATAATACAGTACAGAACCCATATTCCGGAAATCAGAAAACCAAAAAACCGGAACAAAATTCGATAAATTTTCGTGCCATTTTTAAATTTTTTTTTTTTCCTTATAAGATTTCAGGATTTTTTTTCTTTCTTTTTTGAAAGATGTTTACCTAACCATCATTTTGGAAATAATCATTAGTGTATTCCTTCATCGTTTTTTCCTCTTTTTAAGATTATTTCCAAAAAAAAATTTTTTTTTTTGTTGGGTTTAACAATAAACAAACGGCTTTTTGTAGAGATTCAGAAAACCGGAAAAATCAGTTATCCGGAATAGCGATGGTCCCGATCGTTCCGGATAATCGGTTCCCTACTGTACATCTTTTCAAAACTCTTACAACTATGAACGTAAATATTTTGTCACCGTGGATCTTGTTGAGAACCCCCTCTTCCATAAAGTGGAATTACTTTATCTTTGCTAATAGCAGCTTTGCACACTGGGCATACTTGTCTAGTGGGTCGAGTATCTAACCATCGATGAAGGCAGGGCCAGCTGCAAAATATTTAAAATTGGCATACAATTTAAAGAAAATATATATAAATAATGCATAACAATTAATTTTTCAAAATATATTTAATATAGATTACGAAAATCAAAAGATGGAAACTTAGTTCATTTACCAAAATAAATGCCCACAAAAGCTAATGACAGCATTTTTAGCTGTATCTAGACAAATATTACACTCAAAAGTTCCTTCTCCACTTGCTGAGCTATCTGCACCTCCACCTGCAGCACCTTCTGTTTCAGCCATTCTAAAAATATCAAAAAAATTTAAGAATAAAGAAAACAAGAAAAAAAGTTAATAATTAAATTTTACGAATTTAACTATAATATTTCCATAGATGTCTTAATCCTACAAATAAACATCAGGTTTTTGGTTGAGTCTTATGTAACATGGGTTTTAAAGATCTAGGAATCATTATACTTTTCAATAATAAAAAAAGGACCAAAAAATTTGCAGAACTGCTTGAAATTTCGAAAAATATGTGCCACAGAAGTATATGACAAAAACCTGCTTGAATCCAATTAAAAATCAAATACTGAAATCGCTTATTTTGCCCATTTATATTATTTTACTATATTAATTATCATATCCCAAATTTAACTTAATACTAAGAATTATATTTTGAGAGACATACTAAATTTAAATTAGAAACCCCCTTCCTCATATTTTGAAGGTTAAGAAAACAAAATCTGTGGAAATAAAGTGTATTCAGAGAAAGTAAGTCTTGGTGTTTGATTTTTTAACTTAAAATATCATCTGCGCAAATTAATGTATTTAAGGAGAAGTTCTTAAACTATTTAAAGCAGGGTTGGCAAGGTTTAGGACAGAATGGATTAATCCACGGTTTAAACCGTCCTGTCCAAAACCCCTTTGTCCAAAACTGGCTTAAACTGTCCAAAATCCTTCTACTCAAATTATGTCACAATTTTATCTGAACAATATTTAAGAGGTAGAATAAACATAGAACTAATAACATATTGATAATTAAATATTTTTTTTTTTTTTTTTTAATGGCAGGCACTTGGAGCTATTGTCCATTGGCCACAGAAAGTGCCAGAACTGCTAATTCTCTTTTCGTTACCCAGTGGGCACCTGTGGCGAAGCCACGGCGGTGGAACAGCGCCACCCACGTCACACTACCACAACCCGTTTATAGGGCGGGTCACATTCACACACAAAGGAGAAAGGACATAGAACACAGGAGGGAAAGAAACATCCATGCCTTGCCCGGGATTCGAACCCAGAACTTTTCTGATGCAAGGACAGTTCCCTGCCCCCTACACAGACTGGTCGGCGATAATTAAATATACCAGAGAATATTTGTTTTTAAAAGTATAATGTTTTATTAATATTGTTTGACTCTTCAATTTAAACAAAGGAAGATTAATCAGTAATCAAGTTCAATTGGTCCTCTCATTCAATTGTACATAACTGAAGTTTGGCCTAGCCATACAGGTTAAAATATTAGGGACTAAGTGCTCGGTTCGTCATAAACAGGTTTATTTATCTATAGTACTATACAAGAATACTTCTATTTCATTGATTTTCAATTTAAACTAATATATTTATATTTAAAAAACATTTCTTTTTAAAATATATGTCTTTTTTGTCATCCTGTGATGCAGAAATTATAAAAATTTTTTAAAAAAAGTATTATGAAAAATAAAAGGTTAATTTTTGAACAAATTTAGTATTTTTTTAAAGAAATATTATTATTTTTTAATATTGCCATATTTATCCTTATGCAAAAATATTATTTATCAGTATTAAAAGCATATTTATATTTGAAGGATTAGTTATTCATTTTTGTTGTTCAATGAATTGTAGAGCTTCAAAAATTATAAACCTTTTCCTATTATATTATATTATTTTCTTTTAATAAGTTATAGTAAATTGTATAAAAAATATCAAATATTTATTGATACATGTAATTATTATGTGTACAATGGTTACACCTACAGAAATTTTACCTTTTACCAAAGCTCAAGGTTTTGGACACTTTAGAACAGTTTAACCTAGTTTAGGACAGTTTTACCCAGTTTAGGACAGTTTTACCCACTTTAACACAGTAAAATCCATGTGTCCTGTCCAAAACCAGTTTAGGACGTCCAAAACCCCAACCCTGATTTAAAGTGTTATTTTACTTTGTGCACTGTGTTATTTTACTTTGTGCACTAAAGTTAAAATAGATATGTACGTGAAGTAAAATAGATATCTAAATGTTTAAACTGTTGATAAAAAAAAGTTTGAAAGAAGGGGCTCTCCACAATTTTTAAATGATTTTTCCAAAATCCACATCTGCTAACCCAAACCCCAAAGTAGTTTGGATTTTTGAGGTTTTACTATAAAATTATTTGAGGCAGTGGTTTTAAAAACTATATTTTTTCGAGGTTAACTACTTTCGAAATTTAGTCAGTACTTTCAGGAGACTAATTTTGCTGAAGAACTTAATTTACATCCACGTTAAAAAGGGCTTGGGAAAAAAAATGGATTGTTTTAAAATGAGGCATTAATAAGAAGTATTTCAATCAGAAAATTAGATTTGAAAAAAAAAAAATCTGTATTTTTTGTATCACACTACACAATTTTTTCTCTTTTAAAAAGTAGCACACACCACTACACAGTATGAAAAAGTTAGCAACTACAATAGTTTCATTACTTGTAACACACTACTTCTGATCCCTGTCTTAGAAAAATAAGACTTTGAAACAACTGTTTCTGTTATAACTTACATTGCTACATAAATTTACTTTCTTCCGAAATTCATCATTAGAAATGTTAAATTTAAACAGCCTTTTTTAACATCATATTTATTAATTATTTGAAATGTATGTGATGTTAATATTTGAAAAACTGGAATAATTTTATGATGTTAAATTTTTTTAAAAATAAATTTATTTACTTTGTATAAATTAATTTTCCGTAAAAATGTCTAAATTCAGAGAAATATAGTTTCTTAATGCTATATTACAAACTTAAACATCTACAACACTGCCGAGTTCCAAAGTATAATCAAATTAAAATATTTAATTTAAACAAATACGCAGTAATTACTTTAAAATGACTATGTATTTATTTGAACACACTATATATTAATAATTTAGATTGCACAAATAGAATAATGTCTTAGCATTTTATAGAAGGAGCAAATAATACTCTCAAAATTTAATTACACTTTTGCCTTTTAATCTATGCATATTTCCTGAGAACTAATCATATGTTTGAAAAAAGGTTTTTAATTTAAAGGTTTACTGGCATAAACAAATTTTGTAACTAGAAAAAAAAAATAATTTTAGTAAAACCTAAAAAAAATAAAAATTTATGAATGGTTAGAAAGTTATACACAGTTCCATATTAAAGTAGCATAAATTTCCTATTTTTAAAAGCAAGAAAAAAACACTAAGTACTTTATATTTATTTGAATTACAATAACACATGAAATCCAATAAATCCCTACTTTCAGCTTGAAGAATATTTTCTAAACATTATTAATCAAGAGATAGTAAACTAATATCATTAGTAATATAACATTAAAATTTAATATCATTTACATAAACATGAAATAATATTTAAAAACTTAGTTAAAAAGGAAACACATTATGAAATAAGATCGAGAACCTTACATTTATCTAAAAATGTTACTTCCTGAAAATTAATCATGCTAATAACTAAAGCTCATAATTTATGATAAAATAGTATCAAATTTCATAACATTTAAAAAAAAAGTTTTACTTAATTTCATGAAGCTAAAAGAAAACATTATGAAAACTATGAAAACATTTTCATAGAGCATTCTTTCTAAATATTAACCATATTCTTACAAAGTTATTTAAACTTAATAGAAAGCTAACAAAATACTTTTATAACGATTGTATACATACATAAAATTGTGTTTGAAATATAATCCAACTAAAATGACATATATTAAAATCTAAGCACACACTTCCATATTTCCTGAAAATTGATCACAAGATTCAAAATATGCTCGATACATACGCTACGTGATTTTTTCATTCATAGAAGCGTGACGTCAAATAACATAAGCCCAAATACTGCCCCGAACAATACGTAGAGATTTCATTTGATAAATTGTAAATCCATATGTTGAATTAATGTGAACGATTTCACCTAAGCTTTTAATTCCAAAACAAAAACTAATTTAATTAACAAAATAAAAACTCTCAAGAGAATACACAAAGAGAATGCGGAATAAGAAGTTCAGTCAGTACTTAAATATTTATTTGTAATTTGTCGGCAATTGCATCATAATCTGGGAAATTATTAATAATTAGTCACTTTAATAAAGAAATATTTGAAACTCAAGGTCAGATAAAATTGTTTAATAATACTAAAATGCTATCAAATTAGGATCTTAACATAGGAAAACATACTTAATAAAAGTACATCAAAACAGGGAAAAATTATACATTTATACGTATTTTTAAAAAACTTTTTTCATACAGACATTATACAGACGTCACAAAATATTTCAACTACATAACCATATGGTATTGCCATCCGTAGCAAATGAATTTAAAAAAAAAACTTTCACTTAGGTTCGAGAGGTTGAGTAAACCAAGCAAATGCATTTTCAGTTTTTTTTAAATTGCTCAGATTCTCGATGAGTTAAAGCTGTTTCATTATCACATTTTATCTTATTTTGGACTGTGTAGTGAATTTTGGTTGCATGTTACATTAAAAACACAGGTTTTACGGATATTTCATGCAGACAGTTATTTAAAAATGAAGGGGCCGTTCACACTGTATCCGATGCATGAATCAAATTTTTACTCCATCGCATATGTGAAAAGAGCAAGAAAAATGCTTACTGAAAAAAAGGTATCTCTAAATTTTTTTAATGTCAGTGTAAATTATCTCTTTGCCAGTTTTTTCAGAGGTAAAAATTTTTCTCTAATCATTTCGTATTCGAATTTTTCGCAACCAAAGGAGAACGGCTTTTAAATTATTATAAGTGCATGTGAAAAAAATCGCGAAGAGCGAGAATAGTCCCTAAAGAGCTCTCATGCCACTTTTTTTATGTCACTTCCGACCTTAGAGGAGTAATTTAGGTAGAGAGAACCAGTCCCCCATCCCTCGTTGCAAAGAACATCGTCACGTGATTCCTGGACGATTTTCCCTCCAGTAAACCCTCTCCCCATTCTTTTCCTATGGAGGTGAATTGATGAGCTGTGTTTTTAACTATAAAATTTTAAAAAAATGGTGGTATACTGCTGTGCATTTGGATGCAACAAAAAATTCATTAAAGGAGGACCTTTTACATTTCACAAGAAAGATTTTTATTCTTTTATATTCACTTATAAACATTTATTTTCTATTTATATGTTAGCACGTCAAGTTATGGAATGAATTTAATTGGTTTTTAACTAGCAAAATAGCAATTATTTTTTTATATTTTTATTTAAATTAATAGATTATAANCAGAGAAGCAAATTACGACTAGTGAATGTTATTGGAGCGTAATTCGCGTACTGCTACTTAAGAAACAAGGTTTAAACATTTCAAAGACATTTAGAGCATAAAAAATGAAGAGAATTCCAAAAGCGATCTTCAAAAATTATTTCTGAAACTTATACAACAGAGAAGCAAATTACGACTAGTGAATGTTATTGGAGCGTAATTCGCGTACTGCTACTTAAGAAACAAGGTTTAAACATTTCAAAGACATTTAGAGCATAAAAAATGAAGAGAATTCCAAAAGCGATCTTCAAAAATTATTTCTGAAACTTATACAACAGAGAAGCAAATTACGACTAGTGAATGTTATTGGAGCGTAATTCGCGTACTGCTACTTAAGAAACAAGGTTTAAACATTTCAAAGACATTTAGAGCATAAAAAATGAAGAGAATTCCAAAAGCGATCTTCAAAAATTATTTCTGAAACTTATACAACAGAGAAGCAAATTACGACTAGTGAATGTTATTGGAGCGTAATTCGCGTACTGCTACTTAAGAAACAAGGTTTAAACATTTCAAAGACATTTAGAGCATAAAAAATGAAGAGAATTCCAAAAGCGATCTTCAAAAATTATTTCTGAAACTTATACAACAGAGAAGCAAATTACGACTAGTGAATGTTATTGGAGCGTAATTCGCGTACTGCTACTTAAGAAACAAGGTTTAAACATTTCAAAGACATTTAGAGCATAAAAAATGAAGAGAATTCCAAAAGCGATCTTCAAAAATTATTTCTGAAACTTATACAACAGAGAAGCAAATTACGACTAGTGAATGTTATTGGAGCGTAATTCGCGTACTGCTACTTAAGAAACAAGGTTTAAACATTTCAAAGACATTTAGAGCATAAAAAATGAAGAGAATTCCAAAAGCGATCTTCAAAAATTATTTCTGAAACTTATACAACAGAGAAGCAAATTACGACTAGTGAATGTTATTGGAGCGTAATTCGCGTACTGCTACTTAAGAAACAAGGTTTAAACATTTCAAAGACATTTAGAGCATAAAAAATGAAGAGAATTCCAAAAGCGATCTTCAAAAATTATTTCTGAAACTTATACAACAGAGAAGCAAATTACGACTAGTGAATGTTATTGGAGCGTAATTCGCGTACTGCTACTTAAGAAACAAGGTTTAAACATTTCAAAGACATTTAGAGCATAAAAAATGAAGAGAATTCCAAAAGCGATCTTCAAAAATTATTTCTGAAACTTATACAACAGAGAAGCAAATTACGACTAGTGAATGTTATTGGAGCGTAATTCGCGTACTGCTACTTAAGAAACAAGGTTTAAACATTTCAAAGACATTTAGAGCATAAAAAATGAAGAGAATTCCAAAAGCGATCTTCAAAAATTATTTCTGAAACTTATACAACAGAGAAGCAAATTACGACTAGTGAATGTTATTGGAGCGTAATTCGCGTACTGCTACTTAAGAAACAAGGTTTAAACATTTCAAAGACATTTAGAGCATAAAAAATGAAGAGAATTCCAAAAGCGATCTTCAAAAATTATTTCTGAAACTTATACAACAGAGAAGCAAATTACGACTAGTGAATGTTATTGGAGCGTAATTCGCGTACTGCTACTTAAGAAACAAGGTTTAAACATTTCAAAGACATTTAGAGCATAAAAAATGAAGAGAATTCCAAAAGCGATCTTCAAAAATTATTTCTGAAACTTATACAACAGAGAAGCAAATTACGACTAGTGAATGTTATTGGAGCGTAATTCGCGTACTGCTACTTAAGAAACAAGGTTTAAACATTTCAAAGACATTTAGAGCATAAAAAATGAAGAGAATTCCAAAAGCGATCTTCAAAAATTATTTCTGAAACTTATACAACAGAGAAGCAAATTACGACTAGTGAATGTTATTGGAGCGTAATTCGCGTACTGCTACTTAAGAAACAAGGTTTAAACATTTCAAAGACATTTAGAGCATAAAAAATGAAGAGAATTCCAAAAGCGATCTTCAAAAATTATTTCTGAAACTTATACAACAGAGAAGCAAATTACGACTAGTGAATGTTATTGGAGCGTAATTCGCGTACTGCTACTTAAGAAACAAGGTTTAAACATTTCAAAGACATTTAGAGCATAAAAAATGAAGAGAATTCCAAAAGCGATCTTCAAAAATTATTTCTGAAACTTATACAACAGAGAAGCAAATTACGACTAGTGAATGTTATTGGAGCGTAATTCGCGTACTGCTACTTAAGAAACAAGGTTTAAACATTTCAAAGACATTTAGAGCATAAAAAATGAAGAGAATTCCAAAAGCGATCTTCAAAAATTATTTCTGAAACTTATACAACAGAGAAGCAAATTACGACTAGTGAATGTTATTGGAGCGTAATTCGCGTACTGCTACTTAAGAAACAAGGTTTAAACATTTCAAAGACATTTAGAGCATAAAAAATGAAGAGAATTCCAAAAGCGATCTTCAAAAATTATTTCTGAAACTTATACAACAGAGAAGCAAATTACGACTAGTGAATGTTATTGGAGCGTAATTCGCGTACTGCTACTTAAGAAACAAGGTTTAAACATTTCAAAGACATTTAGAGCATAAAAAATGAAGAGAATTCCAAAAGCGATCTTCAAAAATTATTTCTGAAACTTATACAACAGAGAAGCAAATTACGACTAGTGAATGTTATTGGAGCGTAATTCGCGTACTGCTACTTAAGAAACAAGGTTTAAACATTTCAAAGACATTTAGAGCATAAAAAATGAAGAGAATTCCAAAAGCGATCTTCAAAAATTATTTCTGAAACTTATACAACAGAGAAGCAAATTACGACTAGTGAATGTTATTGGAGCGTAATTCGCGTACTGCTACTTAAGAAACAAGGTTTAAACATTTCAAAGACATTTAGAGCATAAAAAATGAAGAGAATTCCAAAAGCGATCTTCAAAAATTATTTCTGAAACTTATACAACAGAGAAGCAAATTACGACTAGTGAATGTTATTGGAGCGTAATTCGCGTACTGCTACTTAAGAAACAAGGTTTAAACATTTCAAAGACATTTAGAGCATAAAAAATGAAGAGAATTCCAAAAGCGATCTTCAAAAATTATTTCTGAAACTTATACAACAGAGAAGCAAATTACGACTAGTGAATGTTATTGGAGCGTAATTCGCGTACTGCTACTTAAGAAACAAGGTTTAAACATTTCAAAGACATTTAGAGCATAAAAAATGAAGAGAATTCCAAAAGCGATCTTTAAAAATTATTTCTAAAACTTTTATAACAGAGAAGCAAATTACGACTAGTGAATGTTATTGGAACGTAATTCGCGTACTGCTACTTAAGAAACAAGGTTTTAGGAGTGTCAAAAATTAGGAGCATTACGAAAGAGGACTTTAAAAATAATTTCTGAAACTTTTACAAAAGAGAAGTGTATTACGGCTTGTGAATATTATTGGTACGACATTCACATATTATTTTTAGGGGTTACTAGACCAGCCTTTGGATTTATTAGTTGCCCCTTGAGGTATTTATTGTTTAAAAATATAGGCAAATAAATAAGCAGATGCACACTTGAATGTTTCAAAACGTATCAAGTGCAGAAAAGAATACTTAGCTTTGAAAAATTTAATTTAGATCTTTCTAAAGATATTTTTCCCGTCAAAGACAATGCATTTTATCTGTTAAATCTATCTCACTATTTCTGTAAATGCCATCAAGAAGGCTTA